AAAAAAAAATTTAAGTTTGGTTTAATTGATTGATTAATTTCTAATAACAGTAAGAGTTGAATACTTTGCTCATTATGATAGATTTAGTTACAAAAGAGAAATCAATGAATAGAGATTAAGGGTTTTGATTTTAGATTCTCTGTAGAAGAATAGTAAAGCATCAATATAAATTAATTCAGCAATCAGAAAAGCAACCTTAGAAAATAAAAGGAGGGATTGAAACAATTCCTCCTTTTCATTTAACTTATTGTGAAATTTAATGAACTATTTTTAATTATTTAAACTTAAGATTTATATAATAGATTGAAGTTTATCATTTAGATCTTTTAATGATTTTTAATTTTATGTAACTATTATTTGATAGAATTATTGGCTTTCTTGATAAAATGATTATTCTTGATATAAACATGAATATTTGCCTAAAAACTGATTTTATAAAAAATTAATAAATATGTTAAAATAAAGAATAGGCAAAAAATTAAATTACAAAATGAAGGTTTATAAATAATTAAATCACTGACAATAGTAAATCGAAGAGTAAATCTATTTACATCTTTAGCAGTAAGATAGCTTATGAAAACCTATAAAATTTTAATTAAATTAATTAGTTATTGATTAAGGATATTTAAATTGAATTAAAGAAAAGAATTTAAGTCAAATATAGTATCTTGAAAAATCTGGATTTAAAAAAAAATTTTTTAATATCAAATATTTTCTTTTATATGTACTAATTTAATCCATATAGATAGATATAAGCTATGGGGATTAACCTAAATTTACTCTTCGATTGAAATGGCCAGACTAAAAATTAGGAGAAATGCATCGAAGCAGATAAGAGAAAAGAAAATCATGTTCCGCTTTAAATATACTGCTAAAGTTCATATCACTTAGGATTATATAGATTTCTTAAGATTAATTTGTATTAGCATTAATTCATTGTTGGATTAGCTTGAAAATTAAATAAATTGGGTTTTTTCTTCTAATTTATAAGTATTAAAATCATAAAATTTTCTCAATTACTTCAAAGTTTAAATCATATTAAAAATTAATAATTTCCCTATTTGCCGTTTTTAATATCATTAGTATTTAGGCCATTCAAAAATTACGCATCTGCTTTAAAATTGATAGATAAACTAAATCCTTGTGTTGTAAAGGACATTAATTACCTATTTTTATATTGATTTTTACAAAACAAAATATTAAAAATACAAATTCTAATAGAAAAATCTATAATATTAATTTTTAATAAATTAATAAATATATCAATTCATTATTAATTCATAAATTTAATAAGATTTTGATATATTATAAAAAATACTTTTATCTTCCTTCATTAGTTACCATAAAAAATTCAATAGACTATTTGATTAAAAAATGACAGTTATTTATAAAGCTTAATCTATGACCAAATTCTAGAACTGATTCTTTATACTTGATTGAATTATTTGAGCAACAAGATTTCAAGTAAATCAAACAAATAAATTGTATAAATCAGTTGATAAATCAAGTAAGAGTTTTATTAAAAGTTTATAAGGTTAGCTTTAAACACTGTGACAAGTTTAACATCTTTTCAATGTTATGATTATTAATTTATCTTTATAATATCATTTTGAATGTTACATCGTAAGTAAAAGATTATCTATTGTATAAAAGGATTAAATGATTTTTTGAAACTTAAATCTACTTTAAAAATAACGTTTCGGATATTAAATTATTGACATTATGATCTAAGCTCTCTTCACATCCTTTTACAATCTAACCTTATTTTCATTCTTTGTTTAATATAACATGATTGAAGGACTAAACAGCTTAATCGACTAATTATTTATCCTAAAAGATAAATTTTTTTCTCTATCTTTTGGCATCTCTTACAATTTAGGAATACCATTTTCTAACAACTTGTTATCTATCCTTCTGTTTGATTTCCTTATTGAAAGTATTCTCATTTATTTCCTTTAAATACTTAGTGTAAAATTTGAAAATTAAATACTATTAAATTGAATTAAGTATGATACTTAAATACAAAATAATAAGTTCCCTCTATGATTAATTTATTCGATTGAAATTTAGAGGTGTAAAAGATAAAATTGAAATTAGTTTTGAAATAAACATTATGGATTATTAAATA